TATTTTGGAAAAGGACAGCAATAATGATGGCACATGAAAAATGTCATCAATGTCCCTGAGCTGTAAATTTGGAAGTTGTTATGGTTGGCAAATGTCTTGTGTATGCTTTCACCACAATACAAGTAAAGAAAAAAAAGTAATTAAAAGAAAAAAATATATATAGGTATATATATATATATATATATATATACACACACACACATACATACATACATATATACATATATGGGTGGCCAACAAACACATGAATAAATGCTTGTGATCATTAGCTATTAAAGAGATACAAATCAAAGCAACAAGATATCACCTCAACCCAGCATTAATAACAACATTCAACAAGACAGAAAACAACAAATGCTGGTGAAGGTGTGGACAGACTGGAACTCTCATACATTGCTGGTGGGAATGTAAAATGGTGGAAAACGTATGGCACTTCCTTAAAAAGTCGGATATAGAAACACGATTTATATTCAGTAACCCCACTACTAGGTATATATCCTAAAGAAGAGCCACAACACAAATAGATATAAGCACACCTATTTCATTGCACCACTATTCACAATAGCAAAGCGATGGAAAAAACCTAAGTGGCCAAGAACAGAAGAACGCATAAGCAAACTATGGTGCATACACACAATGGAATATTTGGCAACATTAAAGAACAATGAAGAATCTGTGAAATACCTCATAAGTGGATGAATTTAGAAGACATTATGCTGAGAGAAATAAGTCAATCAGAGAAGGACAAATACTGTATGAGTTCACTATTTTAAAAAGTCAAGGGAAGGTTTACAAACAGAAGGAAATTTTCTTTGTTGACTACCAGGGATGGGAGAGAAATTTGCTAGCTAGGTAAGAGACACATATTGATTAGGGTGAAGGGAAAGGCAATGCATCAAAAATGGATGACCAGCACAATTTCCCTAAGGAAGAGGAAGATATGGAGAGGTGCACAAGAGACAGATGACAGAGGTAAATATCACTGCACACACATTACTGCATTATTAGCAGTAACAAACCTACAGGTGGATACACAGCTAGACAGGCAAGATGATCAGGTTTGGGTGTTGTTGTTGTTAGGAGCCATCAACTTGGCTCCAACTCATAGCAACCCTGTGCACAACAGCCCGAAACAGTGCCTCATCCTGTACCATCCTCACAATCCCTGCTATACCTGAGCCCATCATTGTAGCCACTGTGTCAATCCACCTCATCGAGGGTCTTCCCCTTTTTCACTGACCCTCCACTTTACTAAGCATGACATCCTTCTCCAGGGACTGGTACCTTCAGACAACATGATCAAAGTAGGTGAGACAAAGTCTGGCCACTCTTCCAAGGAGCATTCTGACTGCACTTCTTCCAGGACAGATTTTTTTGTTCTTCTGGCAGTCTCTGGTATTCTTCACCAACACCACAATTTAAAGGCATCAACTCTTCTTCAGTCTTCTTTATTTATTCTGCAGCTATCATATGCTGATATCGCAGATTATTTGCTCAGCATACAGACTGAATAAATATGGTGAAAGGTTACAGGCCTGACACACATATGCATAGGAGCTCTGGTGGCATAGTGCCTAAGACATTTGACTGCTAATCAGAAGGTGGGTGCTTCAAACCCACCAGCCACTCTGTGGAAGGAAGACTGGGCAATCTGCTTCCGTAAAGATCTACCACCTTGGAAACCCAAGAGAGGTGTCACTATGAGTCAGAATCAACTCAATGGCAGTGAGGTTTGGGTTTTTTTTTTTTCGTTTTCTTTTTTCTTGGTATCATATGCATATGAGGTGACTGAAAATACCATGGCTTGGGTTAGTCAGTTGGCCATGGAGCTGTCTTCCAAATTTCTTGGCATAAACAAGTGAGCACTTCCAGCACTCCATCCATTTGCTGAAAACATTTTAACGGGTATTCTGTCAATTCCTGGAGCCTTGCTTTTTGCCAATTCCTTCAGTGCAGCTTCAACTTCTTCCTTCAATACTATTGGTTCATGCTACCTCCTGAAATAGCTGAACATCAAACAGTTCTTTTGGGTACAGTGACTCTCTGTATTCTTCCCATCTTCTTTGATGTTTCCTGAGTCGTTCAATATTTTGCCTACAGAATCCTTGCAACTCGAGGCTTGAATTTTTTTCTTCAGTTCTTTCAGCTTGAGAAATTCTGAGCATGTTCTTCCTTTTTGGTTTTTCAACTTCAGGTCTTTGCACATTTCATTGTAATATTTTACTTTGTCTTCTCGAGGCGCCAGTCATAATCTTCTGTTCAGTTCTTTCATGTCATCATTTCTTCCATTAGCTTTAGTGATTCTGTTTAAGAGCAAGTTTCAGAATCTCTTCTGCCACCCATTTTGGTCTTTTCTTCCTTTCTGTCTTTTTAATGACCTTTTGCTTTCTCTATGTATGATGTTCTTGATGTTATACCACAACTCCTCTGGCCTTTGCTCACTAGTGCTCAATGTGTCAAATCTACTCTTCAGATAGTCTCTAAATTCAGGTGTGATATAAAAAAGGTTGTGTTTTGGCTCTGATGAACTTGTTTCAATCTTCTTCGGGGTCAACTTTAATTTGCATATGAGTAATTGATGATCTTTCTACAGTCAGCTCCTGACCTTGTTTTCACTGCTGATATTGAGCTTCCTCATCACCTCTTTGCACAGATGTAGTCAATCTAATTCCTATATATTTGATCTGGTGAATTCCACATGTATAGCTGCTGCTTAGTTGTGTTGTTATTTGCCGTTGAGTCAGACCCGACTCATAGAGACCTCTCCTTGGGTTTCCAAGGCAGTATCACTATGGAAGTAGATTGCCCAACCTTCCTTCCAAAGAGTGGCTATGGGTTTGAAACCACGAGCCTTCTGGGTAGCAGTCAAGTGCCTTAGGCACTATGCTAAGCTGCTGAAAAATGATATTTGCAATGAATAAGTTGCTGGTCTTGCAAAATTGTATCATGCTGATCTCCAGTGTCATTTCTATCACCAAGGCCACATTTTATAACTACTTATGATTCTTATTTGTTTCCAACTTTCACATTCCAATCACTAGTAATAATCAGTACAGCCTGATTGCCTAGGTATTGGTAGGTGAACAGGAATATATCCATGACCACATATAATATGGCAGACAATATTTCTATATAAGTATTTGTATGCACTATAAAAATGTCCATATATCTAACAGAGGAAATGGGGCAAAGTTATGGCAACTTCTTAGCCACAACCACCATATTCTCAGGGGACATCAAGTTCAATTGACAAAACATATTACATGAACTTGTGAGCAGCCATCTAAGATGCAACTATTGTTTTCTCCTCATCTGGAGCAAAGAATAATGAAGAAAATTAAAGACGCAAGGAAATAATTAGTCTAAGGGACTAGTGGACCATGGGAACCTCAGCCTACAAGACCCTGAGACAGAAGAACTAGATGGTGCCCAGCTACCACTGCCAAATACTTGGAAATGGATCATGTAGATCCTGGCTACAGTGGGAGAAAAATGTAGAATAAAACTCATTAAAAAAGATCAGGCTTACTGGTCTGATTGTGACTGGTGAAATCCCTGAGACTATAGCTCCTAGTCACCTTTTGGGCCTGGAATTGAACTCACTCCTGTGGGTTAACCTTCAGCCAAACAACAGGCCTAGAACAGGCACAATTACACCCGGGAGGCATACTCCTTAGAACAATCAATCATGGGAGATCAGAAAGGCAGAATTTACGTAGGGAGAAACTCAAAAGGCAGGAATGCATAGGAAAGAAGGAAAGAAGGACACAGTGACAAGGCAACCACAGGTAGATTGCAATTAATGTCATAAAACAAAATGAGTATGAACTATTGAATGAAAAATGAATTTGCTTTGTAAACTTTCACCCAAATCACAATAAAAAGTTTTTTTTAAAAAAAGACGTTAATAGGGGAAAAAAAATGTAAAAAAAGCAAGCCCACTGCTGTCGAGTTGATTCAACTCAGCAATCCTACACGACAGAGCAGAATTGCCCCAAAGGGTTTCCAAGACTACCCATCTTTATGGAAGTAAACTACTATGTCTTTCTCCCACCAAAAGGCTGGTGGTTTCAAATCATTGACCTTTCAGTTAGCAGCCAAGCACTTAACTACTGTACCACCATGGCTCCTTCAAAGTGGTCTCCAAAAAAACTGCCGTGGAGTCGGACCCGACTCATAGCGACCCCTCCTTGGGTTTCCGAGGAGTTTTCACTAGAGAAGTAGATTGACCAAACTTTCTTCTGAGGAGTGGCTCTAGGATCCCAAAATATTCAAGTTTTTCCATGTCAAAGAATTTAAATACATTTTATCTGAATTAATTGCTCCAGCCCAGCATGAAGGTAGAGCAGACTAGGAGAAGGTTGATTGCTGAAAGTGACAAAGCATATTTCCTTTAATTCTAGCAGGGTCTGGGTGAATATTATATTTGCTTTAGGTAACTGCAAACCTTGTTCCCTTTTACCTCAGTACCTGTGTTTGGCTCTCACTGTACACTAAGGAAATGGTCTTTAAATCAATCCACTTTCAGTACATTGAGGGATCAAGTACAGAATTATGTTAAATACTTACAGTGCCAGAAAGCAAGTCTATGATATAACTGTAAAAGTAAATGAGTCCAGAGCTACTTATTGGGTATACTGTACATTGTATATCTGTAAAAAACAAAAACAAGAAAATCAGTGGAATTGTTTTTATAGCCTCTATGATTTGTCTACTTACTGCTGTTTGTGTGTATATGCATGTATATATATATATATATATATATATACACACTTAGTTATGTGCATATGTATATCTGTCTATCTGTACATGGATATATTTCTAATTTTCTATTTATGGACTAAATTCCAACACATTGAGTACAGTACCATTTTCCCCTTTCCCTATCCTCCCTAAACACTTAGAGATATGTATGTTTTCTATACATTTTGCATGTGGGTCCATAGAGAATATGTATTTTCTGCCTGTATTTGTGCTTTCTGTTTTGGGGTTCAAGTTTATACATGTTTTTGTCTATGTGACTGATATAACTGCTATCCCATTTTAAGAAAATCTAATTTTAAAATCTCTATTTATAAGTGTATACAAATAATCATGCAGTTTTCATTCAAAAGAATACAGAAAACAAGATATCAATTTCAGTGACTCTACTTTATGCCTCAAAGCAAACTCACTACCTCTCTATATTAGTCAGCTATTGCTACGTAACAAACAATCTCAATGTCTTAGAGATTAAAACACCAAACATTTATTTTCTCACTCATAGGTCTTCAGATTGAGTTCATTCAGATGATTTAGGCTGAGCCACGCTGAACTCCAGGCTCCCAGCGAGGCTCAGGTCTGTCCCACGTGACTTCACTTTGGGGGCCTGGCTGAAGGGGCAATGGCTACCTGGGGGGATGCTCTTCTCAAGGCAGACCACAGGAGTGTGATAGGGTAAGCCAACCATGCAATGACATTTCAACCTAACACTCCACTTACCAAAACAAGTCACATGGCCAATATCAATGGGGCCAGAATTATTCCACACCCATAATGGGAGGATGTGCAAAGTCTCTATTACAGGGATTGATGAACTGGGGGAAAATAACTCAATCTACCACCCCTGCTCTGGGCCTCGGCTTCCCCTCTGTTAAAAAAAGGGCATTGAAACAGTTCCTCCTAAGGCCAATTCCAGTTCTGCCATTTTATAATTCTAACACCCGTGTGTTCATTTATTCACTCAACAAACATTTTTTAATCACTCTGTACCAGACAGATTTTGGGGATAAAAAGATGAGTAAGAAGCAGTTCTTGCCCTTGAAAAGTTCACCATCAAGTGACAGAGAAAGACAAATAACAGGACTGTAGAAGGTGCTGAAATGGCTGTAGGATGCTGTCACAGGCAAATGGGTAGGAGAGTCATTCTCTCTGGCGAAGTCAGGAGGTTGGAATAAGATGGCTGAAGAAGTTCTCTGGTGTCATCTCCTACTGCTCCACACCTCACTCACTAACTTTAGCCCCCAAAAAACAATTGTCAAACTGGTTCCAACTCAAAGTGATCCCATGTGTTATAGAGTAGAAATGTTCCACAGGATATTCTTGGCTGAAATGGCTTCCCTCTAGATTTCATTTATTTCATTGTTGTCATTGGGAATATACACAACAAAGCATACATCAATTTGGTTTCTATACGTACAATTTAGTGACGGTGATTGCATTCTTCCAGTTGTGTAACCATTCTCACTCTCTTTTTCTGAGTGGTTCCTCACCCATGGACATACATTCACTTCCCCCTAAGGTTCCTAACTAACCTTTCAAGTTGCTATTATCAATTTGATCCCATATAGACAGATAGAACAATATCATTAATATCGCACGCAAGTAAGATCTTACTGAAGATAATTCAGAAACGTTTGCAGCAGTATATTCACAGAGAACTTCCAGAGGTTCAAGCCGGATTCAGAAGAGGACGTGGAACAAGGGATATCACAGCTGTTGTCAGATGGATCTTGGCTCAAGGCAAAGAATACCAGAAAGATGTTTACTTGTGTTGTATTGACTATGCAAAGGCATTTGATTGTGTGGATCATGACAAATTATGGATAACATTGAGAAGAATGGGAATTCCCGAGCACTTGATTATACTCATGAGGAATCTGTACCTTGACCAGGAGGCCGTCGTTCGAACAGAACAAGGGGACACTACATGGTTTAAAATCAAGAAGGGAGTGTGTCAGGGTTGTATCCTTTCTCCACACTTATTCAATCTATATGCTGAGCAAATAATCCGAGAAGCTGGACTGTATGAAAAAAACGTGGTATCAGGATTGGAGGAAGAATCATTAACAACCTGAGATATGCAGATGATACAACTTTGCTTGCTGAAAGTGAGGATGACTTAAGGCACCTACTGATGAAGGTTGAAGAATACAGTCTGCAGTATGGATTACGTCTCAATATAAAGAAAACAAAAATCCTCACAACTGGACCAATGAGCAGCATCACAATAAATGGAGAGAAGATTGAGGTTGTCAAGGAATTCACGTTGCTTGGTGCTACAATCGATGCCAACGGAAGGAGCAGTCAGGACATTAGATGACGTGTAGCATTGGGAAAGTCAACTGCGAAGGAACTGTTTCAAGTGCTGAGGAGCAAGGATATCTCCTTGAGGACTAAGGTGCGCCTGACACAAGCCATGATATTTCCAATCGCCTGGTATGCACGTGAGAGCTGGACAATGAATAAGGAAGACCGAAGAAGAGTTGATGCTTTTGAGTTGTGGTGCTGGCGAAGAATGCTGAAAGTACCATGGACTGCTAAAAGAACTAACAGATCTGTCCTGGAGGAAGTGCAGCCAGAATGCTCCTTGGAAGCAAGAATGGCCAGACTTCGTCTCACCTATTTTGGTCATGTTGTAAGGAGGGACCATTCCCTGGAGAAGGATGTCATGCTTGGTAGGGTGGAGGGTCGATGAAAGAGGGGGAAGCCTTCAACGAGATGGATTGATACGGTGGCTGCAATGATGAGCTCAAGTATAGCAGGGATTGTGGGGCTGGCGCGGGATAGGGCAGCGTTTCGTTCTGCTGTGCATGGGGTCGCTATGAATCAGAAACGACTCGACGGCACTTAACAACAACAGACAGATCTTGAAATATATGCTCAAGGCAGACTTTTTTTTTAATAGTTAAATGAAATTATTATTTGTGTTTAAGAAGACTTCAAGGGTTATTTTGTTTAAGGTTTAAAGGTTATCTCAGGACAATCATTTCAGGGGTTCATCTACCCTTCATGGCTCCAGAAGGTCTAGAGTCCATGAGAATTTGAAATTCTGTTCTGCATTTTACCCCTTTTGATTAAGATTCTTCTACAGAATCTTTGATCAAAATGTTTACTAATGGTAGCCAGTCACCATCCAGTTCTTCTGGTCTCATGGCAAAGGAGGCAGATGTTCATGGAGGCAATTAGCCACACATTCTATATCCTCTTCCTATTCCTGACTTTCCTTCTTTCTCTGTTGGTCTGGGTGAATAGAGACCAATTGTTGTGTCTTGGATGGCCACTTGCAAGCTTTCAAGACCCCAGGTATTATGCAATGCACTAGGAGGTAGAACAGAAGCACTAAACACTTTATTAGGTGAATTTAACTGTAATGTCCCATGAAACCATAATCCTGAACCTTCAAACCAAGGAACCAAACAAATACCATGAGGTATTTGCATGTACATAAGCAGTCTTGGCAGCTACTCATTTTTGTGTGTGTGTTGTTGTTGTAAACATATCTATCACACAATTTTTGCTTGGCAGAAATCTTTACAGAAGCAGGCTGCTACTAGGCCTTTCTTCCACAGAGCCATTCGGTAGGTTCAAACCACCCAACTTCAGGTTAGTAGTTGAAGGCAAACTGGTTGTGCCACCAGGGACATTTTTCCTCTAGCCCAGGGGTTAACAAATTGCAGTGGGCCAAATCTGGCCAGCCACCTCTTTTTGTAAATAAAGTGCTATTGGAACATAGCCATGCCCATTCACTTAAGCTTTATCTATGCCTTTGTACTACAATAAAACAAACCAACCAACCCACTGGCCTCAAGTTGATTTTACTCATAGTGACCCCATAGGACTGAGTAGAACACCCCCATAGGGTGCCCAAGGGTAAACCTTTACAGAAGCAGACTGTCACATCTTTCTCCCACAGAGTGGCTGGTGGGTTCGAACCACTAACCTTTTGGTTAGCAGTCAAGCACTTCACCACTGCACCAGCAGGGCTCCTCTTGCACCACACAATAGAGCTGAATGGTCACAACAAAGACCCGTAGAGCCTAAAATATTTACTATCTGATCTTTTACAGGAAAAGTTTGCCAATGAGCCACTTCAGGCTTCTAGTTTCTGTATCAAGCTATTACTTTCTGGGCCTTTTCAGATGCTGCCCCTCTGCCCAAAGGTGTGTCCCCTAGCCCTTCAATGTGACTGCTTTCTGCTCACCCTCCCCGGCTCTGCTTAAAAGTACCTGTCTTCAAACAGGGCTTTGACGACCCCCTCAGCCTAAAGTGCCCTGGTGTCCAGTCTCACAGCACCCTGTCCTTCCCTTCCACCCATGGCCAAATACGTTACAGACATCTTTGTGAGTTCACTTTCTTGGCACCATGTTTCAGTTAGGAGCCAAGCACTTTAACCACTGCATCACCAGGGTTTTCCTTTGGCCACAGTGATTGTCAACAGTCCAGACAGAGGCTGATCTATCTGCCTGGGCTCTGAAGAGAAGACTACATGGAACAAAGCCAGCATCAACCTGTGATGGACATGCACTATGAGTGAGAAATAAACCTTGTGGTTACTTTGGAGATCACTTGTTTCTGTAGCCTAACAGCCCATCCTGACTAATATAGTCAGCCAAGACTTAACCTATTATAGAAAAGGAAGCACTATAGTAAAAAGAGCACTCCCATAGTCAAGCAGGCCTTACTCACCAATGCCTTTGGATGGAATGAGCACAAAGCTGCTGTTGGTGATCTTATATTTGGTAAGCAAGACTGGGAGCAAAACCAGCATAAAGATGATCAGAAATATCACCAAATTCAGCAACACCAGGAACCGTAAGAAGGAGAAATAAGACTGAATCCCGGTGCCAAATTTCCCTGGAAGAAAGAAATCCAGACACACACTGTGAATTTAATCAGCCACAGGGAGGAGGAATCTTAGCAGGAAGAATGAAGAAGAAACATTTTTCTACTGCTGGCTTTTAAGTTCTACTCCCTAGTGGTTTAACTGTTCAAGTGAAGATCTAAAACTGAATTACTTGAGAATGGTATGAGAGATGCCTCAGTATCTTCTCAATCTGAAGTGGCAATGAGTTTATGTTAATGAAGGAGGAATAACTCAGAAAAGAGCATAAGAAGGGCACAACCAGGAGCATGTAGCCAATGTCACTGACTTCTACCTGTAGAGATGGTTGCATTGGTGTCTGCTTTGCTGGTGTATATTTTCAACAACAAAATAAAATTAAAAACAAACCAAAAACATTGACTCTTCCCATATGAATATCTAAACGACTCTGAAGCATTTACTAAAAAGGCCGTCCCTTTCTCAATAAACTGCAGTAATGCTTTTGTGGTGAGTCAACTGATATATACATTGAATCTGCTTCTGAACTCTCAATTCTGTTCCATTGGTCTATTTGTCTATCCTGCACCAATACCACACTCTCCTAAATAGCACAGACGAACAATAAGACTTGCTACTGGTGCTATGTCTTTCTTCCTTCTTGGCCCTTTGCATTTCAATATTTCAGAATCAATGTGTTAGTTTTCCCACATACAAAATCTGCTTAGATTCTCACTAGGATTACATGGAATATACAGATCAATTTGAGGAAAAGCGGTATCTTTACAATACTGCATCTTCTGATCTATGGATTATATTACATTTAACTCTTTAATTTTTCTCAACAATATTTTATAGTTTTCTGTGTAAAGATCTTATACATCTTTCATTCCTATATTCCTAGGTTTTTGATGTTATTGTGTCATTTACAAATTTTTCATTTTCTAATTATTTGTTGGTGACTTACAGAAAAAACTATTGGTTTTATATAGACACCACATCCCCAGCAACCTTGCTAAATTCACATTTCATTCTAATAGTTTGTCTTTTTTTATTTTCTACATACAGTAACACCTGAGAACCAGAACTCGATTGGACGGTCTTGTTTTTCCTAGCTCTTGTAGTTTTCTGCCGTTGACAGGGTGCAGTCTTACTACTTTCCTATCACTCTCTATTATGGAAATGGAAAATGTTTGAGCTCTCCTGCTCTGACAGGTTTCTGCTTACACAGGTTCTGTCTTTCACAGGTTTGACAGTATACATGATGTCACCTGTAAATTCATTTTACTTTATAATACCTACCAGTTGCCCTCAAATTGATACTGACTCATGGTGATCCCATGAGTGTCGGAGAAGAACTAACTATTCCATAGGATTGTCAATGGAGGATTTTTCTGAATTAGTTGGTCAGGCCTTTCTTCTGAGGTGCCTGTGGGTAGACTTCAACCTCCAACCTTTAGGTTAGTAACTGAGACGTTAACTGTTAGCACCCAACGGAACCCCAGGGACTCCTTTATTATGTTGTTGCTGTTAAGGGCCATCAAGTCAACTCCAACTCATAGTGACCCTATGTGCTACAAACAAAAACTGCCCAGTTGTGTGCCACCCTCACAATCCTTGTGTGGTGGTTATGTTTTTGTGTCAACTTGGCTGGGCCTGGTTGAATGGCTGGGAAGCTGGTGGTAGTAGTTATTCTCCATGATGAGACTGACAATCAACTCCATGGTGGGATCTACCACAAGCAACTGAGTAGCTGCCTTTGG